CATGACTGAGTGACTGAACTGAACTGAATGATTAGTGATGTATCATATCACAACATACTCATGATATATTGATTTTCATGTGCTTATGGCCATTTGTGAATCTTCTTTTCAAAATGTCCTTTCAAACCCTTGGCCATTTTACTATTAGGTGTTTGTTTTTTTATTGTTGAGTTATAGAAATTTTGTATATATTCCTGATATTCATCCATTATTGGGTATATGATTTGTGAATATTTTCTCACATTCTGTGGGTTGTCTTTTCACTTTCTTGATAGTATCCTTTGATACACAAAAGTTTTTTATTTTGAAGTCCAATTTATATTTTTTTCATTGCCTGTGCTTTTAGTGTCATATCCAATAAATAAGTTGCTAGGCTAATGCTACTCGTTTTTGATTCCCCAGGCCCATGTAAATTAGTCCTCCCTGTGATCCTGTCTAATTGCATCTGTATCCCCTTGGCAGTGCCAGCCACACCTGATTGGTCTGCACAGCTCCACATCTCCCCAACACAGAACCCGGGCAAGCAGAGGTCGGGTCTGTTTCCTTCCTCCTAGAAGACCCTTCTGGCTAGAGCATTCTTGGCTCTGGGCTTTGCTCTTCAGAATTCTGATTCTCTAAGAATCACAGAATGTTAGCGCAGATGTAGAAAGAAAAAGAAAAAAAACACAGAAATGCTCTATGAAATAAAGACTGGCTGCTTTCATGCACCAGTGGAACTGGTACTTGTTACACGCTGGCTTGACTTGGTTTAGGAAAATATTCCAATGGCTTTTGTTGGTCTGGAAGGTGGACTCACCCTCTCCCCTGCCTTCAAGGGTTCAGGCAGGAAGAAAAAGGTGAAGGGAGCTGCTTGCACAGCAGCAAAAGGGACTGTGGTTTTTATAGACATCCTGGGAGGGAAGAGGTAAGACTCTGTGGAACAGGGAACTGGGGAAAGCAAAGAGACGAAGTGGTGAAAGTCCAGGCAGGAAAGCCCAGTTGGCCAGAAATGCCCTTGTTGTCATCTGTAGCAAGTTGCTCCATCACCCAAACACCAGTGAATGTCTGCTTCCAGAAAGGCCCAGGTAAACGAAGCTCTGCACAAAGAAGTTGGGTGGTGTCTATTGTAGACCCCCTATCGAGTGTGAAGCAGAAGCAGGAAACATGAAGGCAGAAAAACATGGGGACCATCATGGGACCCTGAGTTTTCCACTTTATACGAATGGGAGCTGTGCTAGGGTGAGTTGTGTCCTGCCAAAATTCATATCCACTCAGAACTTGTGAACTTGGAAATATGGTCTTTGCAGGTGTCATCAAGTTAAGGTACTGTCATACTGGATTAGAGGGGGCCTTCATTCAAAGCCTGGGAAATTTGGTCAAAAACACAGGGACATAGTGAGAAGGTCAAGTGAAGACAGGGCAGAGACTGGATGATTCTCCACAAGCCAAGGATCACCGGCAGCCACCAGAAGCTGGAGAGGGGCCTAGAGCGAATTCTGTCTCAGAACCTCCAAAAGAAACCTGCTGACACCGTGATTTCAGACTTCCAGTCTCCAGACCAAGAGAATTAATTTCTACTGTTCAAAGCTTCCCAGCCTGCAGCATCCTATTATGGCAGCCCAAGATAGCTCAGACAGTAAAGAATCTGCCTGCAATGCAGGAGACCCGGGTTCAATCCCTGGGTTGGGAAGGTCCTCTGGGGAAGGGAATGGCAATCCACTCCAGTATTCTTGCCTGGAGAATCCCATGGACAGAGGGGCCTGGCAGGCTACAATCTGTGGGGTCACAAAGAGTTGGACACAACTGAGCAACTAGCACTCCTACTAAGAAATGAATGGTGGGGCTAACATCCTTCTATTTTAAGAGCCAAGGAAAGGGAGGCTCTAAGGTTGGAGGGCTGGGAACATCAGGAGCTCATCTTGGCTGGTGTGGGGTCCTAGCCTCCAGCTGAAGGAGCCAGGGCAGCTTTGGGCAGAGGGCAGGTCAAACCTCGGAGCTCCAGTTTCTTTGCTCTTTAAGGCTCAGGGGGGTCATCAGACTGCTGGCATCTGGCAGCTCAAAGGGGAGGCTGAGAAGCCGTCTGGTCAAAGCAGCTTCTGTACATTACACACTCACCATGGCCAGTTTGGGTCTCTTAGTGCTACAGCCTCCCTGGTGGCTCAGATGGTAAAGCATCTGCCTGCAATGTGGGAAACCTGGGTTCAATCCCGGGGTCAGGAAGAACCCCTGGAGAAGGAAATGGCAACCTACTCCAGTACTCTTGCCTGGAAAATTCCATGGATAGAGGAACCTGGTAGGCTATAGTCCATGGGGTCCCAAAGAGTTGGACACGACTGAATGACTTCACTTTCACTTTTCACTTGAATGACTTCACTTTCACTTTTCACTTTCTTTCAGTGCTGCAGCACAGACAGTAGTGCAGAATGGGGTCACCAACACCAGAAAACACCCAAGTGCTTTGGGAGGACAAGACTGCCCCTGGGGAACTGTCTAGCACTGTGACACTCTGGCATGTAACCAGACTCTTCCTGTTGTGGATTTGGTGGCAACCTGGGGAGAGGAGCCAGAGATAAGAGGGGATGAGAGGATGAAGGATTCACTTAGTGGAAGGAAAGGAGATGGTGAGAACCCAAGGCAGGATAAAGGGACAGAGAGTAAGGTGGGGCAGGGGAGGGTCCCTGGGCAGAGAGACCAGGCAGAGGGCCTGAAGGGGCAGCAGCATGGTAGGAGAGAGCAAAAGCTGGGCTGGGGGAGGGCCAGGTCACACAGGGGCTTGAGAAGGAGAAAAGCAGCTCGCCTCGATGATATGCAGAAAATTTCACAGCTCAACGATGTCTCTGTTATCAGACATGGCCAAGATGGATGGAGACAGAAGCAAGAGGCCTCTGCAGTTACCTCTGAACACAGACAGAACATGGAATCTGTCCAGACCTAAAAATGGCCCTCAGGCCCCCTTTCCTTGCTGACTGGAGTGGGTTTACCAATTTTAGCTGAAACTTTGCTAAAGTTCTCCTGCCTTCTAGATACAAATTACTAAGATACCCTATCATGGCATCACCCCTGATCCCTATGAGCACTCCCCAGCTCTCCACAGGGTGCTGTTGCCCTCACTCAATTCCACTGCAGCTGTGTTCTAAGGGTCCTCGGATAGGAGGTAACTGACACCTCTTACACCAAGGAAAGAACTATGAGTTTTACTCTGAATCATATGGGAAGCTACTGCATGGTTTTAAGAGGAGAAATGTGACATGATTTTCAAAAGAAATGTCCTAAAGACCCATCAGGAGGTTCTCTGTGGACTGTGAGTGATGGCATATGGAGCAGGGTTCCCTGTGGCTACTTGGTGAGGGAGGGGGCTTTTTCTGCCTGCAGGGCGGGAAGAAGTGACAGCGTGAACACATGGACGGCCTCTGTGTCCTACGACCACCTTCTAAGGAGCTTCTGAGAAAAGAACTTCACTGACGCGAGCTAGACTGAGCTGTTTGAATCAGCTTGAGGTAGCCGCGGAAACAAGTATACTAGTGGACAGTGCATAGGTGCCTAACCTCCCCCTTTCTGAGCCACCACACTCAAGACACCCTATAAGACAGAGTTTGTGGAGGGAATTCCCCAGTGGCCCAGAGGTTAAGACTCCACGCTTTCACTGCCAAATGCCTGAGTTTGATCCCTGGTCAGGGAACTAAAAAGAGGCCAAAAAAACAAACAAAAAAAAGACAAGAGCTTATGGAAAAGACCAGTCCACACTGGCAGGCACCAAGGAGGCAGGACATAAGGCTCTACACAAATGTCCAATGTTTCGATCAGGATATATGGTGATGTCATTCCCAAGACCCTGTGTGTGTTCAGCCAGGAGGGGTAAGGGGCCAGACTTGTGAATAACTGGCTCCCAGGTTAGAAAGAGAGCTCAGAGGTAGGAGGCATATCTACCTCCCCTGTCCCAGTACACATATGTGTTGCTTCCAACTTTTGCCTTGGAGGGTGGGCTAGCTAAGGGGATTCTTTCAAAGTGCTAGGATACAACATGTCTCATTGTCTGATGAAACTATGTGGGATGTGTATATGTGGGTGGGTGAGTGGGGGGTCCTTCTTCAATGAACCCATGGTCCAAAAGCATGATCAGTGGTCCCCAGGGATGGCAGAGGCAAAGTGTTGGCATTTTGTTTGCTTGCTTTTGCTTCCTCCTCATCTGACCTGGCTGTTTCTCCTATTTCTCTGAGGACTCTCACACCTGGAGGATGGAGCCCTTGGCTAGGCCTGCTTGCCTAAAATTCTCTCCCTGGATTGGTGGATTCCTCAAGCCCCATCTTGACCCTGTCTCTCACGATAGCACCCCTAGCCTAGAAGGCAGAGAGAACTTGGGACTGACTGTAGAAATGATCATAGAGCATAGAGGGCACACTGTCACTTCCAGAACCCTCTCTGTATCAGGAAGGCTCAGGGAACCAGCGCCTTATATTGGTATCAGCTGTATCAGCATACGTGTTGTGCCCTTGAGTCCATGTGTGTGTGTGCATGTGTGCGTGTGTGTGTGTTGGGGGAAGAAATAGGGATACTAGGGAGGGAAAACTCTTCAATCACATCAGGAGTCTCCATTCCCACACATAAGGGTCCATGGGGGCACTGCAGCACATGAATAGAATTTTATTTGGAAAAAAATGTATACGCAATATATTGAAAAAAAAAAAAAAAGAAAGCCTAGAAGAAAATATTCTGAAATGTCAGCAGTGGTTATATCTTGCGGTGGGATCAAGGATTTTTATACTTTCGTGTTTTACACCAAACATGTGTTGGTTATGTAATTTAAATTTTATTTATTTATTTTTAAACAAAATTCTCCAGCCAACTGTGCTTTTTACCCAGTTGCAGTAACTTTCCTTTGAGTTAGATTTGGTTCTGGGTGGACCCAAGGAACAAACACTCCTTCTCAAGTTCACACTGACTTAGTACTCGTGCTTTCATTCCTCCTTCCTCCGACAGTTGATGTGTTGCGACAGCATCCTTGTCCTCAGGAATTTTGCAGCCTAGAGGCATTCTCTCCCCACGACCTGCTCCTCCGCGAGGAAATGGAGGCGGAGGGGGCGGCGATGTTTGAGGGTGGGTGGCCAACGGGGGAGGTGGGGTAGCCCTCTGGGCGAAGGGGTGGGTGGTGTCGGCCTTGGCTCCTCAACACCGGGACAGTGGATGTAAAATGCTAGGACAACGTTAAAGGGATCGACTGGATTTTCTGCGGCCTTCTGCACCTGAACCCTCCAGAGAAGGAGAACGCCCGCGACCCCGATCGCGGTAACTGGGATACCGAGGCCTGGAGGCCAAATTCTGGGGCAGGACCTCGGGACCCAGACGCCGGCCGCGGTTGCCACGGCAACGCCCTCGGGCGCGCGGCGATTGGCGGAGCTTCAGGGGCGGGACCCAGGAGGCGATCCCGCGAGAGCTTGGCCTCGTGGTTTCCGGTCGGCGCGGGCCAGGGAGGCCTCCTGGACTGTTACTCCCGCGTACGGTGCGGTAGCCGGTCTTGCTGACTGTGCCAGCAAAACGTGCCCAGAATGTGCTCCTTCTCCCTCCTCCGCTGCGACCACCCTGGACCACCTTTAGTCGCTTTGAGTAATGCCCAACCTCTCGCCGGGTCTTCCAGCTCCGCCCTTCAGTCCATGTTCCATCTTGTGGTTCCCAGTTTCCCTGAGTCAAGGCTGTGCCCCGTCTGCCTCTACCCCACTGCTCCCCTACTTCAGCCTTGCTCACTCGTGACTGACCTTGCTTCTTCTCACCCCAACCACTTGCTGGTCCGTCTGCCTAGGCCACGCCTCTTTAAGTGAGGCGACCACCTGCTTAAAGTTACACCCCACATTCCCCATCCTCCCTACCCTGATTTTTCTCCATAGGTCTTATCACCATCCAACACAGTTGATAATGTACTTATACGTTGTCTGAAGGTTCCATGGCCAAGAATTTGTCTTCTTCAGACCAGAGCAGGTGCGCAGTAGTTGTTGCAGACTGAGCAGGTGGATGAGGGGTCTTCTCTCCTCATCCTCCCTAAGAAGGGTGTTGAATCCCTTGGGTCACCCTCTCTGGAAGGAGAACAGGCCAGGGCTAGCTGACTGCCCACGTGCCAAGTGTCTTACTTTCAACACCTTACTCCCAGAGTGGCTTCCCATTTCTGTGGGAGGCCCAAGGAGCCTCTGGGAGCCCTATTCCTCCAAACACTGTCATCCTCAGCTTAGAATCCTTTGGTCTCCAGATGTCACTGGCTGTTGCTGCGGTCCCTCCTGCGTGCCTGGCACTCTGCTGGGTGCTGAAATGTGTGAGAAGGTCTGGTGCTGCCTTCAAGGTTCTCAGTCTGATGGGAGGGACAGAGAAGTGACCACCACCACGCAGAGTACAGTGCTGAGGATGGGCACCTGAGGCATAGTGGAAGAGGGTGGGCCCCCTCTAGAATGGGGCCTCTAGAATTCCTCCCAGTGGTTCAGGGGGGGCTCTTCTGGTGTGAAGTGTGCACTGTGAACAACAATTACTGGTTTTCTCCTCTGCGCAGACACGATTTCTGGGATTCAGCTCTTGGTGGCTGAGAAGCCTGTGCTTTTCCCAGGGCCGGATGCTGCTTCTCAGGCGAGAAGCCAGACAAGCATCCAAGCTGCCCAGAATTGCATCCAAGTGTCCAGACAACTGGCTTCCCTGTGGGTGTGGGCACTGGAAGAGGGGCTTTTGCTTGGTGTGTAGTTCGGGTGAGCCAGGGCAGCCATATGCTGCCAGCCTCGTGGGGAGTAGGGCACAGGCCACCCTGGCAGCCAGATGCTTCTGGGCTAGTCTATGGCTCAAAGGCATTTCCTTCAGGAGAGGAGCCAGGTGGCTCCTCTCCACCCCCTCTCCTGTCCTTGCCTCCCTCTTCTGTCCTTGCCTCCCTCTTAGTGCCAAAGTCTAGGGTTCCAGGGCTATGTCAGCATTGGGCCCTGCTGCACTGTCCTTCTGGCATGGGGCATGGTGGCCTGGAATGGACATCTGGTCTGCCTCAACCCCCACAGCCAGGGCATCTGTGGCCCCATGGAATGCAGTAGCATGGAGGAGAGCCGGAACCAGGGAAAGGCCATGCTCTGCTGTGCTTGCCAAGTGGCCGGGCATTCCTGGCATGGCTTACTTGGCATTGTCCTTGCCACTGAGGCTTACTGAGGGCAACCCCCAAGGGCCCTGCCAGTGTTCCTTTTGCCAGGTTGTGTCTGCTCAGGCCGAGGGAGGGAGGGACATAGGCCACAACTGATGATGCCAGTCCAGTGGAATCTTGAACTCAGTAGGAGAGGAGGGCAGCCCCTGCCCCTTGCCAATGATGTGCCCTCCCAGCTGCAGAGGCATCCAGCCTGCTCTGCAGGAGTTGGATCTACAGCCTGAGAGGGCTTCATTTTACAGATAGGAAAACTGAGGCTCTGAGAGGAGATGGAAGCATATGTCTACTTGGTGGGCTTTATCTTGTTTGCCTGTCAGCATGGGGCTGAGATCAGCATCATTAGCTCCATTTGACGAAGGAGGAACTGGGGACTGGAGAAATGAAGCGCCGTTGGCAAGTTGTCCTAGGTAAACCCCTTATCTGGTCCTGGCTTGCACGGATCTGAAAAGGAGCCAGGGCAGTGCCCACACTTGCTCGTTTTGCCACAAGATGGAAAAGTGAGCCCAAGAACGCAAAGCTGAGGGAAGAGAGACCCAGGATCAAGGTGACCCTCCTGCAGGAAGCAAGAAGTCCTGAGGCCCAGCTGGGCTGGGAAGTTTGGAATGAGGCTGCCAAATGCAGCTGTAGCCACCAGGGTCCTCACTGCACTTGGTCCTCCCTTCTGCCCATGCCCCCAGGTGTATGGAGTCACACTTGGTCACTGGGTCCTGAAGAAACAAGAAAACAATATCTTTGTCCTCTACCTGGCATGTAGATGAGGCCATCAGCATAAGCCTCTCCCCTGCCAGGCCTTCCTACAGGCCCTTCCCTTCCTGTACCGCATTTGTGGGAACCTATGCCTGAGAGATGCGGTACCCCAGGCCTAATACCATTCCAGACGCGGAGGGGAGCCCCTACCATCACCATCATATCATCCATCATTGGCAACAGTGACAAGACTTGGTCACACCCCTTCAAAGGTCAGGCCAGTTCAGTTGGGAGCAAAAGGAGCAGCCTGTACCAGGTGACTGTGACAGAACAGATGGCTGGGGGGCAGAAAAGAGGTGCAGACATCCCCAGGGACCCTCCATTGGAGCCAGAGAAGGGGCCATGGAGGAAGGGGCTGATCCTGAGATGGGAGGAGGCACCCCAGGCGGGGTCATCCCAGCAAGCTGCCCTGGAAGGGAGGGTATGTCTGGAAGCTGGGTGCACATCAGGGTGGCAGGAGCCAGGGGGCCTGGGAGCCAGGCTGAGCAACGGGGTCGTGTCCATGGGCTTTGAGCCCAAAGCTGACAGAACGGAACCCAGCGCGTGGAAGCAGCTTTTCAGCAAGTGCCTTGAGCTTTCTTGGAAGCAGGCTGAGTTTAAATTATAAATAAACAAATGAGAACTCTGCGGCAAAGCGTGGGCCAGTGGGAACATGGGAGAGACTGGAGACAGAGACCTCACTTGGGAGCTAATATTCCCCCTGAACTCAAACCCTCCTGCCCTCTCTTCCTAACCTGCCTCTGCCCCAGGGGCTTCTGGGCCTTCTGCTGAAGGTATCACCTGGGGTCTCAGGCTTCAGGGGCTGACCTTGGCTGGCCAGAAGAGGTGCAGTGTGGAGCCCGCATTGTGGGGAGTGGGGAGGCCCACCTGGCTTATACACCCAAGAAGTTCAGGCCTGAGTCTCCCTCGGACAAAAACAGGCCCCGGTGGACACTCATCCGTGTGGGAGGTGCCTCACCAAATGTCTGAAGGGGGAAAAAATCCCATTTTCTTAGCTTTTTTTTTTTCTTTCTATTTTTTGATTATTTTTCTAGATGACTTCATTTCCAAGAACGGTGTAGGGGAGAGAAGGAGGACAGGGGGAGGGAGTACAGGGGGCCTGAGGAGGGATGAAATGGGGAGTGGGTGCCAAGCACAGGGAAAAATCTGTGGGGGAATCAAGGGCCACCTTGTCCTGGCCAGGTGCCCCCAGCCCAGACTGTGTCTCCTCCCCCTGATCTCCATGGACTTCTTGGCCAGCTCGAGTCCCACAAGGTCCTGGGACAGAGGTCAGCTCCCATCCAGCCGGGATTAGCAGGAGAAGGTCTTCTAGGAGCTTCTCTCTGGGGCATGACCTCCCTGCCCCACAGACAGAGGTCTCCTTACCCCCTCTACTGCTCTGAACCAGCAGTATAGGACCCACTCTGGCTAGCTTGATGGAAAAGAAAGTTTCTGCCCAGTGGCCACACGCCCAGGAGCAACACCACAACCACATGGTCTCCCTATTGGGCACAGACCCAGCAGCCCACGTGTGATAGGGCACTGTTGCCCCAAAGCCAGGGCCTTCTGCCACCACCTTTGCTAGAAAAGATTCAGGAAGATAAGTTTTTTGGTGTTGCCTGCTTCTGAGTCAGTCTGCCCAGGTGAATCTTGGTTGGTGGAGCCCAGGTCACATGCCCCCACTCTAGCTGCAAGGGAGTCAGGGAACACCAGCAAGGCAGGAAGACCCCAGCAAAGCAGCAGCCACCCCAGAACCCCTTTAGTTCACAGAGGACTTTACCAGTCCAAATGCCCAGCAGCTGCTGCACTCTGAGGGAGAAACCGTCCCAGGCTTCTTTCCCAATCTCCAGTGGCTGCTAGAGACCTTTGGTGTTCCTTGGCTGGTGGGTGCACCACGCCTGTCTCTGCCTCCAAGTTCAGAGTCATCTCTGAGTCTCAAATCTCCCTCTGCTTTTCTCTTCTGACACCTGACATTGGATTTAGGACCTACTCTAATCCAAGATGATCCCATCTTGAGATCCTGAACTTGGTTATATCTGCAAAGACTCTTATTCTAGATATGGTCATGTTCTGAGGCTCCAAGATTCCATCTTTTGGGGGCCCCACTTAATCCACTCCAAGAGGCATGAGAAATGGGCACTGAGAAGGGGGCAAGGGAGGAGGGGGAGAGGCGAGGCAGAAGGAACATTCAGGCAGGAGAAACCAGCTGTCCTAGCCCAGCATTCACTGGACCATCAAATCTCCTTTTGGCTCCTGAAACCTCAAGTCAGCTGTGGCTGCGACAGAGCTTTCCACCACCTCTGGTGTCGCCA